CAATATTCAGTGTAATTGTTCAGTGTGGATAGCCATAGTCATACTATTCAAACTAAAAAAGTGGCAACCTCTAAGTGTTCATCAACAGATAAAATGTGGCATATACACAAAATGAAATATTATTCAGCCATTAAAAGGAAAATAAAGTTCTGATACTTATCTTGCTTTCCAAATACTATTTCCCAAAAGAAACCAGGGATCCTAGGAGAAATGGCTGGTTTCATAACTGGAGCGAAGAAAGAATGAAATGAACCTGGATACTGTTATGTTACCAGAAAGTTAGGTGCTCGAGAAAGGATAGGGTCACAGAGGCCAATTTAAGAGACCTGAATGGCCCAATGGGTGGTAACTTACGAGAAAAAAAAGAGCAATGAATTTTAACCAAAAGAAAATATCCATAAGTCTACATTTAAATGAATAATTGAAAAACTGAATGGGAGATAAGGGACAACCCCAATTAATAAAATGGGAGATTGAAAATTTAAAAAAAAATCACGATTTGGCAAGAAACCTCAATATATGCGAAAATAGTATACGGAAGTATGATAAGAAACAGTATTTGCAGTATCACCCCCAAAAGATACGTATTATTAATTACAACAGTAAGTAACCAAAGTACCATCACTAGTCATAAGACTATCAACACTATGTGACTCCTAATGATGAACTGAGAACTACATCATTTCTATAGTGTTCTTGCCAAAAAATATATAACCCCAAACTCAAAAAAAAAAAAAAAAAAGACAAGCCCATACTGGGAGACAAGAATGGTTAGAGAGTTTGTAGCTTTTTTTAAGTGTCAAAATCATGAAAATCAAAGAAAGCTGGGCAATTGTCCCAAACAGGAGATTAAGGAGATATTGACAGCTATATGCAATGTTGGATCCCACTTTATGTCACTAGATATATAAAAGAAACAGCTACTAGTGTATCAATGGTAATTTCCTGGTTTTGGTAACTGTATCCTGCATATGAAAGATGTTAATTTAAGAAGCTGGCAAACAGCATTTAAAAATCCAAACGAACAGCAACAAAAACTATGTACTTCTTTGCAACATTTTTGTAGGCCAGAAGTTATATCAAAATAATATTAAGAAATAAATAATTCCAATACTTAACTGTTTACAGTCTGCATTAAAAATACTCAAAACAGTTTCAATCTTGACAAAAATAGAACAAAATAAAGTTGCTTGCTTAGGAATATCATTTCAGAAGTTGCAAATAAAATTATAATGACTATAACAGGGGAGATAATAATAGAAAAATGAAGAAAATTTACTTTACTCACTGGGTGCAAAAGTATTCATTTTTAGAAAAAAATCCATTTTTAGCCTAATCAATAATTATAATGACAAGTATAATTAACTGTAATATACAAAAGACATTTTATTAAAATTCTCACAAAATTTGATAAAAAATTCTCAACAAAAGGAAGAAAAAATTTCCTAAAATGACTCATAAGCACTTATAAATTATGGAAATAGAAAACCATTAATTTTGGAATTTCAGTGAAATTGCATTTAAAAAGTACACAAAAAAAGACTTTCATATATCAACAAGAAAATAAACAAGGTGTACAATTCCCATCACTACATTAACAAAACTATGAAATGTTTGGGAATGAATCAAAAAGAAACTTAACTAGCAGTATCCCAACATAACAATTTCATAAAAAAATAGAAAGACATACCTTTCTGTTGGACAGGAAGACTCAATTTTAAAGAGATCTATTCTCTCCTAATTAATCTATTAAAATTGATGCAAATGAAATTAAAACTGAATTATTTTTCCAACTTGCAAAGTAATTTTAAGCATCAATTGAGAGAAAAAAATGCGAGTATAGACAGGGAATATTCTGAAAAAGAAGAGAAATGAGATAGAACTCAATGGAATAAGTAAGACTAAAACTCAGTTATTTCAAAGTATCAACAGAAGGTAAGGCAAACAAATAGAAATGTAGTCAGTTATATGTCAGAAATTCTACATGGTTATGGAAGAAATGAAGAAAAGTTGTAACTGCTTAAGGTGAAATGACTTGGATATGTGATGCTTTAAAATCAGTCATGATTAATGGAAAGACAAATAAAATGACAAAATACTTGATAAAAAAAGAAAATACAAAGAATTACAATACTAATGCAACCACTTTTAAAGAAAAACACTAAATCAAAAGGGACAACGCAACATGATTATATTTCAATAAACAACCAAAATATAAAACACTATTGTAAACTGATGGTAAAAAACATGGTATTTCATTTACAACACATGACAAATGGTTAACATCCTTAGTCATAAATGAGTTCTTACAAGCCAGTAACAAAGACATCAATATTCCAAGCAAAATGAATAAAAAAAAAAGGAAAATGAAGTAACGCAAGTGACTAGTAAGGATTAAGCACATATGAAGATGACTGAGCTGACTAATAACAAAAGCAATTTCTTTGCATTATCATACTGCCAAAGATGAAAAATATATTAATTGTTCAGTTTTAGGGAACAGTTTCTCATCCCTAAAGACTGATGAGGACTCATCTATATAATTAGAGGGAAACCTACAGTTTGGACTCAAAACATAACTTTTCAACACCCTTACTCCTGGCAGGTCCAATTAACTGGAATTATTTCAACAAATGGTAGTCAGACAAATTACAACAATTTATATATAAACCATGTTTACTGCATAGAAAATTTGCAGCTAATGTAGGGACCCCCCCCAAAAAACACTTGCATATTAATTTGTTTACCAACAGACCCAAAAGGATGTGCACAAAAACTCTGTTAATAGAAGATAACATCAGGGGGAGGGGCAGGTAGAATTAGGAGGGAAAAAGTCTTTTAAGTAAAAACATTATACTTCAGAAATTTCCACAATCCCTGAAATCTTGAAAAAGATGACTTTTTAGCAATCAATTTTAAATTTCCCTGTAAGTTAAAACTTTAAATATATGCACTTAACACTTATGGGAGCACTGAAATGAGGCAAGCCTTGCAATTACACCATCCTTGGCTTCTCTGTTGATTAATGCCTCCACCATTCAAGCTCGAGGTTTAGTCCAACAGCAACAATGAAAACAGTCAACATGCCTGGTTACATTTCTCTCCAATAAAACCCTTTAGGTCACTCTCAAACTTGAACCTTCTCAGTCCACTCTTTCTGATCTACATTGAGTGTCCATGGCAACACATCAATGAGGAGCCTCCAGACATTATGAAGACCGTCTTTTGGTTTTGATGAAGATGGTGGCAGAAGCAATGACATCAGTTTCCTATTCAGCCAACACCTGAAAGGATACACTGGGGGGAAATTGGAAAAGGTCAGACAGGCAGGTCATGAGCTCATTAGCAGGAGCTAACAAAACTTTTATGTAAAATGAAATGCAACAGCTTTTCTATTGTGAAGAAGTAACAGGCGGATTGAAATTTCTTCTGAAATTTTCAAACAAGAAAGCAAGATATTGGTAATCTTTCCTCTCATGTTTTGCTAAAGGACTGATCCTTCCAACTTTCTCCTTGTGTTCAACTATGTGGTTTCTTGTACCTCTGTATCACCCTCTCATTCATGTAAGTTACTATGCAATCTATGTAATACACCTGTACAAGAAACATAACAATGCCTCACACTGCAATGAAAATAACAAAGAGCTCAGTTCATCTGACAAGAAAAACACTAACTGTACTAAAGACACAGAGGCTATGATGGAACTTAGGAAAAAGACTTAACTGCTAGGTAGGCACCTCCCCCCAAACCATTAATCTTCTATTTAGCTAAAATGGTTCCTAAGGAAAAAAGAAACACATTCTGATTAATACCTTGACTTTCAAGGTTATTCCATGGGTATCAGGTAAGCAGGTGCCTCTGAGAGAGGAGGTTCTCTGAGAAAGAATGTTTAAGGAATTTGTTAGCATTCACTCCTGGCAGCACATGCCATGAATTAACCTTCCAGAGGGTTGTAACGGGAAATGAAGGAAAAACTTTTCGTGAGTTAAGAGAGGGGGTTCACTATTTATGATAACATTATTGTCTCATCAACAACTATTCTCTCTCATTCTTTTCACAGTTCCATGGCCTAAGTAGTTCTAAGACTGTACATTTCAGAATCAGCACGTTACACCTGGGCTTTTTCTCTTTTGCATTTCCCAAACTGACTTAATCCCAAGAACCATGCAATTTTTCCTTTCTCTGAACTTCTAATCTATTGCCTAATTTACTTCCAAAGTCACAAAAACAATTCAGTAGGACTTTATTCTATGCCAGGTGATGAGTAACGTGTTTGTTGAGAACTATCTGCAAAAGATTAAGAGCATGAGAAGTAGAATACTGAAAATCAATTTAGTAATGGAAACATTGTGAAAGAAACTGCCCCACACTCTGCCACCAAAGAAACAAAACAAAACACTTTCTTAACTTCCACATCTGAAGTTCTTAATTACTGCACCTTCCTTCATCTGGTCTTTCTTGCAGTCTGGGTCTATAGTCACCCTGGCACTATCCCACCATGAGATGGATTCTGGGTTGGCCATGACACTGCCAGCCAACAGAATATGGCAGAAATGATGCCACATGACTTCTGAAACTAGATGGGAAAGGCCATGCCAGTTTGACAAGGCTCTCTTCTACCACTTGTCTTTATGAGTCATGTGGGAACCAGGCTGCGAGAAGGCACTCTAAACTCAACCTTCCAAGTCATCTATGAGTGAGGAGGTATCCAGAACACAGCCTTGAATCACTCCATTGGACTGTGTCTTCCCAGTTGACCCCACAGACGTTCTGGCACTGCCAGAAATCTTTACCCACAGAATGCATGGAAACTACACATTAATGCTTTATACGTTACTGAGTTTTAGGAAAATTTGGAACTCAGAGATATGTATCCTGAACAAGACCTACTAGGTGCCACCAAACACCCAACAAGCTTAAGAAAAAAGCACAGGATCAATTCCTGCCTAACCAAAGTGCCCCTTCCCTGAATCAAATGAGCACTCAAACTGTCCTTAGAATCATTATCGCCAAGGGGTTCTCCTGGGACCAGATGGGCGTGAAGAACACCTGGAATGAGGAATCCTGCTGCTGAGATTCCTGGGATTAAAAACAAAGATGGCAAAAAGTATTTCCTCTTGGAACTGTCATCTCCTGACAGGGAGAAAGAAGAAACATTATACAGTAAAATAAACGGCATTCTGACAAAGAGCTGAAGCAGCATGTAAGTGGAGCTCATGTTGAACTTGATTACAAATTGCAGGTAAGGCTTAGAAACAACCCCTCACTATCAATCCTGTCATTGATTCAACTCTCAGCTTCGAAGTGGCTTTACTCCTACTACGATTTTTCAGTATCACACCTTTTATAAGTTTCCATGAACTTCTCCCTTTATCATATCACAAAACTGTATGTGCAAAAATTTAATAAACTCTGGTCTCATATACCACTAACATCCTCCATAAAAACGTATAAATTGCCTGTGCCAACTAGAAAAAAGTATTTAAAAACAACAAAAATAGCTGGTCTATTTCCTAATTTCCAATAATTAAACAGCTAATCATTTCCTTTATAATATTAGTTATATTGTCATGTTTTGGTCATAAATAAGTAAATTAACTGAAGGAAGATACAAATAATCACCAACATTCTTCAGGCCCTAGAAAAGCTACGTACCAGTGCTATTTTCTGAGTCTAGCAAAAACCTTCTCCTGAAACAGCACTTCTTGATCAAGAATCTTCACACCTGTGGTTTACAGTTGAGACTTGTAATTTAAGGAACTCCATAGGAAGAAGAATGTCTCTGATAATCTCAGGTATCCTCAGATTATCTACAAGTATGTCTTCCATGTTCACCTGAGAAGTTAAGTATAAAAACATAGACCAGATTTAGATATAAATGAGACACCAGCAGATAGCGATTAGGGTGACTTCAGCAACAGTCAGGAATAGTGAATGGAAGTAATTAAACAAGCAAATATTAACTGCCCAAAGAGATGACTTTTTAAAAAACCTTTTCACCTTTTTCAGAGCCCATTTAACATTAATGTTGAGAATACTGAAACATTTCTCATGCTAATTCTGAATAATCTAAAAACTCATAATCTATTTGAAATCCTTCAGACTCAACTATATAAGAAAACAATCCATTCCCCAACTCTGTCCATTAATTAAGAGTAACTCCCAACCTATCCTCTCCAACAACTTGAAGGCAGTAACCACAAAGATGGCACTGCCTTATAAAAGTACACTTTATGGACAATGTCAGCAACACCTCATCATTCATCTGTTTGCCAACCCAAACAGAAGTGTTTAACACCTACCTCAAATCCCATGTTCGCCCTTCTTCTTTCACTGGGCAATCCAGTACTGTTTCAATGTGCAACCTCTCTGCTGCACTCGTCTCTCAATCATATGCTCTTCAGAGTCACTCAAAAACTATCCACAACAGCCACTGGGAATAAAGCTGGATACAGCATCCCAACACTCCCAAGATGCTGACAGGCAGGGGATGCAGACAGGCACAAATTGGTGGTATCTTTTAAATTCCCTCTGTAGTTTATATGCTGCTTTTGAAATCTCCAAAATTCCAAAGGCAGAAAGTAGCAGCAGTACCCTCTCTTCACCTCTCATTTGTACAGTAATATTAAAACTCTGCCATGTTTTTCCAGACAACTTCCTATTCAATAATTGATACATTCATTTTAGATTGTCATCTAGCAATATACAAATAAAATATTTAAACAGTATGTTTCAGTACTTAACTTACACATGTATAAAATTTCAAGAAGAATGCTAAAACAATCATCATTATCACTACTATAACACTGGTGAGTAAGCATTACTTAACTCTATTATCATCTCAGTATCATCTCTTCCCCCAGAAACAGTAACCATTAATATTTCAGTTAGAAAAACAAGAGGCATGTGGACACACCTCTGTAAACATGAGTTATTCATTCAAAATGAGATATTTCTTCAAAAATGACATAATTTTAAAAATCAACTTAAAACATCTTTAAATACCATACATAATACTTTTTCAGCATTTGAATATTCATATGATGAATAAGCTATCATTACAATCTTTCTTTTTACTGATATGCATTTCATACATTCAAGTTATTTGTTAAACTCAATCTATAACATACTTTTTTATGAATCTAAAAACAGGAACAGATAAAATCTCATCAGCAAGCTACCTCATTTTAAAAGTTTTACACACACAATTTGATTGTCATGACCCCACTGCTGTTCAAAAAGATAAACTGATTTATACTTCAATCGATGCTGGATAGGATCCTAAGAAATTTTTGTAGTTTATACCATAGGCAGCTGAAATATAATTCTGGCATTTGTTTCTGATTATATCATAGAAATTAACTATTCACCAGAAAGTTTTAAAAATCTCTCAGAAAAGTATTCATAAGCACAGAAATTTGTTATCATATATATATATATATGTGGAAACATAAAAACACAAGACATGGAGCTGCTTAATCACTTTATATAAGAATTAACATTCACTTAGAACATGAAGCAGGCTTCTGTATGTTTAGGCTTACAATCGAAATATTATTTCCATAATTTTCAAAATCAAAAATAGAAGGTCAAGCAATAAGCTAATAAATGAGAAAGAGCATCCTATCTATACCTCTAAGACTAATTTCACATATGTATGTGTGTATATGTTTATAGTATGCATGTAAATGAATACATACATCTGCAACTAGGTTCATATAGATAGCAGAGTAATAATTACTTTAGCCATGTTACATAACTATGAATATATCTATGATTCAAAGTGACAACTCCCTTCTTGTATCTTTTCCCTTCTTCTTCCTAGAGATAAAAATAAATCCCGGGAGCATTTTCCTCTGTTAAAAGTATACAATCTAATCTTTTCTTACACATGAGATCTAATGATCTGAAGATATGGCAACAATGTGTACACTTCATCCCCAAAACCCACTGAGAATAAACAACAAAATGTCACAAAGCCCTAAAAAAAGCCAACTATTAATTACCTATTTCACTACCAAAACATTCCTAGAAGCCCATTTAAGATATTTTACAATGAGATTTACAAATTTATACTTCATGAAATCCCATGCATCTAGAAAAACTAGACTTTAAATGATGTATTTACTGTTATTTACAAAGTTGTCTTGAATATTGCCATGCAGTCCAACTAAATACACAAATATGTAATTCAAAGAGAGAATACAGTCTTACAGAATGCATTTCTTATGATTTAAATATATAATGCCCTATCAGCAATACAACTACAAACTATGACTTCTAGTTTTTTTAATGTATAATTATCCAAGCACTAAACAATGATTAAAATGTAAAATTTTATTTTAGAGGAGAATGCAAAAGTGAAAAAAATACCTTTTATCTTTTGCTTTCCAGTAGCAACTCAATAATCAGGATCCCAATTATGTTTAACTCAAGGAATCTACATCTATATGAATTTCATTGCTAACATTTTAAGAAAACAAAGAAACCATGAAATTTTACAATGAGTTATTTACAAAATTATACTTTGTGAGACTCTATGCATCTAGAAAGACTAGATGTTATTTTAAAAGCTTGTCTCTGCCTATTTACAAAGTTGTCTTGAATATTGTCATGCAACGAAGGGAACACATACAGAACTGTGTGTAGTTCCAAGAGGTAGTGTAAATCTCTTTAACAAAATCATTTAACTTGAATGTTTAAAAAAAAGAAAGAAATATAAGAGGAGGGATGAATAACCAACAGTTACAACATTTAACCATAGTGTCAACTATGGACACTGGGTGACTTATGATGTGGTAAGTCAACACAGGTCATCAATTGTAACAAATGTACACTCTGATGAGGGATGCTGATAATAGGGGTGGATCATGTATGTGTTGGGGCGGGGGATATATGGGAAATCTCTGTACCTTCCCCTCAACTTTGCTGTGAACCTGAAACTGCTCTCAAAAAAAGTCTTAATTAAAATAACAATATAAAAGAAACATATCGGGACTCTTGGTACACCCAGAAACACCAAATGAATTACATGGTGTAAGCTTTTTAGATATATACACTTAATATAATGGCAAAGTCTTCTATATGTTAACAAAGTAAATGTATAATCTTGTAAATGTTTCCTCTTAAAAACCAAACCAATATATGATAAATTTTCATAGCTCCAAGAGCCTATCAATGAATTTCATTGCCATGTTAATTTTAAAAGACAATGGTACTAACACATTTACAATAAAATATTTACAAAATTATACTTTTTGAGACTCTCAATATATCTAGAAATACTAGATGTTTAAAACTAAGTATTTCTCTTACTCATTATTTGCAGAAGTTTCTTGGTTATTGCCATGTAACAAGTGAACACAGAAATGTGTAGAGATATCATAAAATGTTTAGAAAAATGAATTGCATCATGAACCTCAGCACATGTGGAAAAATAAGTTATACCCATGTCCCCAAAATAGAAGTAAAATTCTATGTATATCAGAAATGTCTATACTGAGAAATAATGTGTTTATAATGTAACTGTATGCACAGCAGTCTAAAATCACCCTCAACAATAGTGAGTCTTAGTGTACCATTTCATTTCTACAAGCGTAAAAAAGTTTACATGCTATTAATCTTAAGTAAACTTATGTTCAAAACTATGACAGAAATTTCTGTACATCTACAGTTATATAGTATAAAAACAAAAATCTGATCACATGCACAACTAAATATTACCACTCCATACACACTAGGTGAAAACACATGGAGGTCATGTAACACTTCTATTTGTTAATAATATAAGTATTATTAATTCTGGTGTGTGTGTGTGTGTGTGTGTGTGTGTGTGTGTGAGCATGCATGCATGGCAAAGGTGTTTAGTCATAAATACCTAAGAAGTTGTTATAAAAGAGCTTATCTGCTATACAGACAGTCAAATGTGTCCTTGCTCTGTCCTGACATTTTAAAACTCAAAATTAGACTAGAATAAGAAAAATCATACAAGTTTACTATTTAAAAATATGAATGGCAGTGATTTCTACACTTTAACAAAGAATGTCTAATTAAAAACCTCAAGAACATAAAAATGGATAAAAGGCCTCAAAAATCAAGCCTAATTCATGAACAAGCTGACTCTGCTGTATCTGATCAAACAACTGTTAACTTTAACATTTCAATGAAAAGATATTTCCAACATTACTGACAGAAATCACATACCCAAAAAGACTCTATTAGTAACATTTATCTTCCACATAGAAAACAAAGTAGTGGTATAATCCCCAGCAACCAACCACATCCCAAATAGCCGTGTTTTAGAAACTCAATTTACCAAAACAGTGTTTTCATCATTGTCTCAGTTTGGTACTCACAAAATATATTGCCTAATCAGCAAATCATATAAAAACTAGTATTTGTCTACCACATATCTAGCAGCCTCACAGTATCCTCCATCAACCTAAGTTTATAAACCAAAACTTCCTATATATCATCTGCCCTCACACAACCCAAAGAACACAGACTAAAGCCAAGTGATAACTGAGCCAAAAAATATACCTACTCTGACTTTTAATGAACACTAGTTTTATACACACATGTGCATGTATGTATACACATACATAAGAAATCCATATAAACCAAAGACTAAAAGACTAAAGCAAAAACTATTATGTATTCTATGTTATTATACACAATGATCTAACAAAACACCCCTTCAGCTGCCCAATTGTTTACTCACAGATAATCTGACAATCATTAGGGAAATTTTTCACTCTATGTATAGGTTTGTACAAAAGACACACAAATAGTTCCTATGCTTTAAAAAATAGTATCTATTATATACACATAATACAAAAACATTTCTTTGATCAGCCACTATTTAAAGAACTCGGGGCTGATATACCACTGCTAACACCCCCCCATAAAAATGTATTAATTGCCTATGTCAACTAGAAAAAAGTATTTTAAAACAATTCATCAGTTTCATTAAAAGCTAAATTCCACTGGCAAATGAAAACTTTTCTCACATATGCTATTTTACCGCGTGTAGAGATTTCTCTAAGTTACCCAAAGAGCTGCATTCTATTTGCATAAATTCATGTGAAAACCATAAACAAAGGCAGCCCAGTGGTGTTTCCACCATGATGAATTCTGTCACAAAATGACGATATATTTATCTTAGATACTACACAATACATTTCTCAAAACCTAAAAATTGAGGCTAATGATCCAATTAACACGCTGAAAGGCCAGATGGAACATCTTTGGCAAACAAAAATATCACTATCCTACTAGGTTGGCATGTACTTACAAGGATGTTTATACATGCAGAAAATTAGAGGTTAAACAGAAAGTAGAATGTATAAAAATTTCCACCAGAAATGAGTTAATATTGAGAGGTAACTTAACAGTTCCACTGGAAAAAGAAAAGAATGTCTACCTCTGTTTAACACTAGAATATGTGTAAAACATATGTAGATTCCAAACATCTGAGCGTGGAGTAAAGCCTGGAGGATGTTCAAAAACTGTCTCTGCATATGCATAGACACACACAACCCTCCAAAACTCCCTATTCTCTATCTTCTAAATTCAGCTTTTATTTGCCTAATACGAAGAGGTCCAGAAACTCCTCAGTGACCAACATTATATTCTAATAATTGAAAACTGAAATGCCCAAAATGTCAGTCATCTCTATGCTTGATAGGATGGTGTAACACAGTAGTTTTTCTATTATATACAAAGCAATTAAAAAAAAAGCCCATTCAACCCTGAACATGCAAGTGTTCAGAGGTCGGTCTCTTGTGCAAAAATCCCATCATGATAAGGCAATCTTGTACTATACAAATTTTAACATTAAGAAACATTTACAGGATAAGACCTACATCTACCTGGAGCAGCCTAAATTAAAATTTCTTATGACAGTTGTATACAGAACAATCTCCTCCCTTCAAAAAGACCACAGCAATAATCCAATCAAATGATTTCAAATGTACATCATTTTCAGAGGTATTCTCAATTGTTTTCTATAACCATGTATTAAAAATAACTCTTCTACATATTTTAGCAAACGATTTGTTAACATTTGCCAACACATTAATGTCACAAAGCAATTATATTTGGTTATTTCATACAGTATTCTCAAAATGCATTTAAACAGTAACAGTGCCTTCTTTGCCTTTCTTATCGATGTTTTAAACATTCTGTGTCCATCTCTTTTCTGCTATTTGTAGACAATACCGAATTGTGTAAAGCTTACAAAATGTCTCCTCTGTCCTCAGAATTCCTTTCTAAGTCTTTCCCAGAAGACAACTTTCCCAAACATACTTTTAGAAACTTCTTTAGGAAATCAGCTCTATTATCACAACACTCATCTTTAACAGTATCTAAAAATAGTATTTTTTAAAAAATAAACCTAGGCTTCTTTACTTGAGTGGTAGATTCCAAAACATTAAGCAAAGAATACAAAACAATAAAACTATTACATGTTGAATTTCATTCTCTTCATCGCCTAACATCCAATGAATAGTTCACGCATATTTATCATTCACTGAGTATTTTACATTTACATTTCAGTACCACTACCCAAACACAATTTTCCTATGTATTTAAATAAATGTGTAAGCTACATATGTCCAGTAAATTAGTTAATAGGATTAGATTCTGAGTTGTTTTAAAATGTTCAAGGGAGGATAAAATCTGTTTTATCACATATGCATACAAATACCATACATATAGGGCTTTTACTGGTAAATCTTTTGAAGACCAGTTGATATTCCACAGCAAAGAAATTATGTTTTTCCTCCAAAATTCAAAGATTGCCAATGAAATGTAAACATTTGAAAGCCAAGAAGTTTAGGCCAGTATAAATCTGTATTTTGTTTGTAATTCTGTAGCTGATGAAGCTTCTAGCTGAATTCAAGATGTGTTTTCCTTCCCTTTCTATCCACACATTCCTGTACGGTTGGGCTCATGTTTACTTGAACTCGTCCACACTAGCCCAATACTTCAAGCTTTATCCAGCTGAAGTAATTTTTCAATTCATTAGATACCCTTCGCACACTTCCATTTGGGGGAGAAATCTGGAATGAGATGCTGTTGGACCAGGTGTGAATGAATTCTGAGTAAAAGATCTAAAGATTGTCTCTACATGAGAGCCTTGGCCAAAGACCCATTAAACTGGCATGAAGTGGACACTTCCATGGCAGTCCATGAGCAAAACTGCTCAGGATATTCCAGAAAAATCTGTGTATCTATGTTAATAGAAAAAAAGGTTTGCAAAACTACCCTAAATTGTCCTGCATTGTGTCACATTGTATCTTGCTGTGCAAATTTCTTGAGATTCTTACAGATCAAAAGGGTAAAGAAATGTCTGAAATTTATGAATCCACAAGTGCAGTGACTAAATTTCCAATTCTGACAGCAGCAAAAGATGCTCTGAGTATCAACAGTTTGTATCATCTTTGTCCTCTTCTCTGATTATTGCTTATTTCTAACACGTTAAAAACACGTCAACTGTAGATTTATGGAGAACGTGATGCTGGTTGGTCATCTTTCCCAAAGACTGCTCTGGTAGACAGATGAATTCGAGACTCTGAAGCTGGAAGTAAGGGGACTGGTTAGATGTTTCATTTAGAAAGGTAGCTGCACACAGCCATCTAATGGAGTCTGATCAGTATCTTATTGTGCAAAACAGATTTTGTTTCTGGATGAAATACTTGCCCTTGTCCATCTTTCTTAGGCTCCATTCATGAATGACAGCCATTTCCTAACCTTCTAGTTGGCATCATGTTTCAAATCTCTAGAAAATTGATAGTCAAATATATATTTATTATACAATGATTTAAAAAGGGTGTTTATGAATTAATTTTAAAGATTTTATGCTTACTTGCCATTATCTTCTTTGAATTATCTGTACATGCATTTGTCATTTTAGAAACAATTGTTCAAAATCATTTCTTTTACAATGAATTGTAGAAAGATGTTTATAGTACATTAAAAAAAAACCCAAGTAGTAACTTATGGTGAAAAATATGAAAACAAATATATGTATGTTCATGTATGATGAAGCATTATGTTGCACACCAGAAATTGACACACTGTAAACTTACTATACTTCAATAAAATATGTATATACAAAAAAATCCCAAAAGAAAAATAATCAATATATTTTGTCAACCTAAATAGTATCATAGATGCATTTTCATGTGCCCAAAACCCTGTTAGCCATAAACAAGTAACCTCTGTCATATGTGTCTCAATAACCATGCCCTCTGGATTTCTACGAGATTCACTCTTGGAGTAAGTTCAAATAAACTTTTTTTTAATATGGAAGATTTATTCTCCAGAGAACTAGAATCAAACAGGTAGAGGCATCCAGGTAAGAACAGACAACCTTAAGGGACACCCATTCTCTTTCCACCAAAGCCTCAGATTGAAATTTGGAACTCTCACTCCCTTAAGTAGCACCCAACTCCATGCACCCACAGCGTGGCACAGTAACTTTCCTTGTGTCTTGATTCAAACTCTTACCAAAAAAATCAGAAAACAGAGGGTTAAACTGGAAGCCAAATTTTGCCTACACTATAAGGCAAATTTCTTGTACCTTTTATTCATTCACATACTGATTCTACCAGTAACTGTGACAACAATCTAACAATGTAACAAAAAATTACTCCCTATCCATCAAACCATCTAGTAGATGCCAATTTTCATGGTGAGCCTTGGACAGAGAATAGTTAACAGTGACACCAGGGCATCTGGTGAACCATTAACATTTCATTCCCCTAATAAAAGTCTCTCCCTCTCCCTCCCTCCTCCTCCTCCCTCCTCTCTCTCTCTCTCTCTATATATATATATATATATTCATGTATAACTGAAAAATTGTGCTCTACACTGGAATTTGACACAACATTGTAAAATGATTATAAATCATTAAAGAATGTTACAAAAATTAAAAAAAGAAAGTCCATGTATCCTTGCAACCATTTTCCCCAAAACCTGCCACGTTATAATCTTAGACAAATAAAGATATTATTCAGTAACTTAAGGCTCTATAAAAGCTTCTTTATTGTGATTTCAGCAATTTTGGGGGGAGGTATTAATATTTCTATTGTTACTTTTGCAACACTTAGTGCCATAATTTACTCAGTCAAGAAAACACCCAGTCTACCTAAAATTCGAAGCCAGTGTCCAGTCAAGTTCACTAGAGAAGGTTGCACAGTATGCAAAAGATAATCAGAAAAATGTAATGCCAGAATCTTCTGACATCCTACAAGAATAAGAAAAATCAGTATCCTTGTTTTAACTTACTCTCATAATAATTATGTCACTTTTTTTTAAAATACTCTCTGATTTCTTATTTTATTCAGTTCAAGTCACAGGAAAGAAGTCTCTTTGTTTCAAGTCTGGGTTCAGTCTTCAGTTGCTACAGCATGGGGAGTGATTGTTTTGACTTACATGTTTATATTCTTCAGTACTCACAAAACTGGAGGAATCCCAACTGAAGTGATTAATTTTCAGAGTTCATAAGTAAAAGTGGATAGTCCATTATAACACTCTAGAGAACCATCATTAGACAGGACTAGATTTTGATAACCAATACGCCAGAGTATTTATTTACTGCCAAGCTGTAACATATTTGATGGACTTCCCCAGAAAACAGGATTTCCTAAACTTAACACCCAAAAATCTGTTTGTATCGCCAGTTTATGACTCACTTAAAATGACCCAGAAGTGGATGCTTAAAAAAAACATATAGGCCAAAATGCAAAGTTATTCAAGTTATGCATAGGTCGGTGACTAAAACAGAACATAAACTGTATAAAACATACCCTGAAAGTAATAGGTAGAAATTATCATGTCTAGGAAATCAACACAATAGTCACTAAGATCATATCTAATCTTAAAATTTGTTTAAAATATCTACTATTTCCTGGGAACTTTTGTTTATTGTTCATTTTTATCCAAAGTTAATGAAAATTTGCATAGTTGATTCATTATTAGGAAAATTATCAAAAATAAATGTGTTGAGAAATGAGAAACACAATTTAAATGTATATTGGCAATCTGTTCTTGTAAGATACATGGATTCATATTCTCAAAGAATTACAGGCATGCTTCTGTCCCCAACACATTAGATCCCAATGATTACCACTCACTTCTACTTTGTTAAAACCTGGCAAGAAAAAAATATAGTATTCTGCAATGACTATTATATAAGATAACCACTTTTTTCAAAATTCCCTGCTCATTTCCGTATTTGTAAACATTCTGTAACATTGTATTTCATCATGCTACCCATATACATTAGCAGTCTCATAACAGCACTTTCAGAAAATGAGTATTTTCATTTTCGACAAAACCCAACCATCCTCTATGTGTGGTGCCTAAACCAGCAGCTTCTGCCAACTTCTCAGACACAGACCTACTAAATCAGAAACACTGACTCGTACTCCAGGAGATCCTGACGTGTACCTAAGTTTGAGAGAGTTTATCTAAGTTACTTAGAAATATATAACTCTCTACCCATTCCAATAACCACAGCAGGAACAGACAGCTGATCAGTACATCCTGCCAGTCACAATAATTTCAAGACAATATGGCCTAAATAGTTGTCTCAGGACAGGGCAAAGAACTCACAATGGCAAACCTGGCTGAGACCCACACACTGAAGTTAAAAGTAGCAGGTAAATGGTAATTCTGACTCCTAACCTACCCGCACTGTTTCAATATTCAAATGGGACAGCTTTCAGATCATGAACAACTGGAACAGTCCAGACAATGTGGTCAATTTACATGTCCCCCTTCACATTTCGGCAACACAAGGACATGTTACAATCACTTTATACCCTGTCTTTTTTATTGTATCTTCCTTTCATCCACCACTGCACTCGCCATCTACTGCTAACTAATTCCTTCCACTACTCTTCTCACCAAATTGATTCCATTATAAATTCGCTTGGCTGGACCTTGGATTCTGTTCGCAGGAATAAAGCTGTCATCAAGTTCAAGAAATAATGAGTCTGATCATCAAGCCAACCCTCCCACCTTCAAAACAAAAACAAAACCCCCAAAACCTGATTGTCTTCCAGGGATTCATATTTACAAGGAATTTTCTTGAGGTCATCCATAAAGAAGCATCACTTCAAGAATAAGGACTATTCGGATGGGGCTGAACCAGTAACTATGCCTGCATCTTTTCACCCTGTAATAACCGACAACGCTCAGTTGCACCAAACATCCAAGGTGAAATGGTCCTCAGTCAGCACTACACCTCAACAGACCCCAAACTCATTCTTTCCCTTTCTCACTCAGCTATGCTTCTAATCTAATTAAGTTTGTAGAAAAGGTAGCTCATTCCTCTCAATTCACACAGCATATCCCATCCCTACAAGCCAGGATCAGGACACCTAGGGAAACCAATGTGAGGTTATAAATCTACTAAACTTTCTGGCAGGGAATCAGGGACTTGACAAGGGAAGAAACTTTAAAGGGACTTGTCTACCTCACTTTAAGAAGAATGTAAATTAATTATTTTGAATCCCAACAGCCTTTCACTACAAACTATTCACCTGTCACAGTATCAACACCCACATCATTTATTCATACACACATACCCTCAACAAATTAACAAATTAAGATGACTGTTTACAGATAAGATCTTGGTATAGTCAACTGTCCACAGTACCTCTTTTGTAGTTATTTTTTCTACATTACTTGTTAAATTACTACTCAATCCTCATTATAGCTACTATAAACAAAGCACATGGACCTAATCACAGATAACAGAAGATTCATTAATCATAAAGTAAATATAAATATCAAAGAATAATGACATTAAAAATGATTAAATGCATTGTTTAGTAAATCAGCTCCTCTCTAGGGCCCAGCATCAGCAACTGCAAAAGGCCAAGTTCATTTCCTTGAATTACGAGGGTCAGAACTTAGAAATTTCTATCTGTGTCTTTCCAAGATACAGAAAGTGGTAATTTATTGAGAAGAACTGGAATAACTAAACTAAACAAGAGAGGTACTCTCATCCCTATGAACTCAAACAACACTTTTTTATTTTCAGTTTTGACCAATAATGACTAAAATGTGTCCCTATAAATACCTGTAGACCTCATGATAAGGCATTTAGCTTCCCTAAAACAAGCCCTGGTGTACATGAAATAGCTATTCCTACGTAGGGGCCAAGCTCACTACTGTAAAGTATTAGGAGTATGAAATCAAACAGCCTTAGTTCTAATCACAGACATTCCACTAAAAGAAGTAACTGTAAAGTATCTAATATCATTAAAAAAATCAGCAATGCCCTATTTTTATAACCCTCCCCCTGGTAATGCCGTACTTCTTAAACATCACTGTGTGATAGGTTCTATACCCACTGATCAACTGCAGACAACTAAGGAAAAAAATTGTCCTTAAACACCAACAGTGTCTGTGTGAGGACACTTACCACACTCACTGTGCTTCATAAAGTACGTTCCCATTCTTTCTGGACATCACTCAGACACCTACAACTGTGTCACTCAACGTTTGATCCAAGATGTGGCAGTCCCCTTCACACACGTCCTTGTTTCCATCTCACCATGTGTGTGCCTTCTGAGATCCAAGCCAGAGCTTCCGTTGTGGGGTTGAACAGTGTGTGTGTGAGTGCACACACACACACACACACACATATTTATATAGAGAGAAAGAGTAAAACAGAAAGAAAGAAGAATTAGCTCACACGATCTATGGAAAAAAACAAAGAAAACTGGAGGAACTGGCAAAGTGTACTACTACACCTGCCATTTGTAACTACTCAGTTTTCACAGGTCAAGCCAACATTTTCAGTCAAGAATGTTCTCTGCAAAGTCTAGTGAGGCACATTGACTGGATTTCAGTGTCATTTCAAGCTCCAACTTTGAAATCAGCATGTTCAGACAAGGTCCTGTGTCATCATAAACCTAGCCAAGGCCTCTGCAATACACTATATTTTCTTTTTCTTACAAGGTTTTACTTTTACCTTGAGTAGTTTGTCTTAATTGCAGCTAATACGATTTTCCGCCTCCTGGCAACACTACTGGTAGAATCCACACTGACATTTCAGAAAATCCAGTGATCAAATTCTCTCTTCCTTTCAGAGTCATCAACTATGTGGGCAAAAATGCATTGCATAAGACTGATAAAATTTCAAGACAGAAAAACAACATGCATTGCTTTACCTAAGAAAATTCAAATACTGAGCATTGTTACATGTATGACCAGTCCCAAGGGAATGAGCAAAACAGAATCTGGCAATGATTTACAAACTGAGTAATATGTATCTGAAAATTTCATGATGGACCAGAAACTTGGAACTGACTACTTGCCAAAATCAGTAAAAGATATTTTTAAATTTTTATTTATTTTTAGGAGGAGTAATTAGGTTTTTATTTATTTATTTTTTTGGAGGTACTGGGGATTGAACCCAGGACCTTGTGTATGTTAAGCATGCACTCTACCACTGAGCTACACCCTCCTCCCCAGTAAGATTTATTTGAAATGAACACAATTGTGTTTTTCTTCTCATCTTTGAAACAAGATTTTGAAAACTCTAGACAAGTGTTACCATTTTCACATAATTCCATAAATTACTTCTACAAGCAAAGACCCAGAAGAAACAAAACATCAGTTTTGTTTACAAAAGACTGAAGACTTCTGATTTCAGTTTTACGTGGAATCTAAAAAGCCTGAACTCACAGATACAGAACAGAATGGGGGTTGTTGCCGGTGGGGTGGGGAGGGTGTGGGAAAATGGGGAGATGCTGATTAAAGGGTATAAACTTTCAATTACAAGATTAATAAGCTCTAAGGATCTAACGTACAGCACTGTGACTATAGTTAACAATATACTATACACTTAACATCTAAGACAGTAGATTTTTAAATATTCTCACCACATAAAAAAAATGGGGGTGAAGGGTATAGCTCAAGTGGTAGAATGCATGCTTAGCATGCATGGGGTACTGGGTTCAATCCCCAGTACTTCCTCCAAATATAATAAATAAATCTAATTACTTCTCCCTCATAAAACAAACAAACAAAACAAATGGTAACTCCATAAAGTGATGGACACGTCAACTAACCTTATCGTGGTAACCTTTTCACAATACACACACCTGACATCATGTTGTACATCTTAAAATTAAACAATGTTATTTATCACTTACATACCAATGAACATGGGAAAAATTACAGGGCTTCTAAAATTTGATGTGATTACATGATTAACCACCAGCGAGTTTATGAGGGCAGGGAGCTATGACATGCTTTTATACCAAGCCCAGTTTACCAATCTCATAAACACAGAATACCACAAACAACTCAAAACTGTAAGTGCTTATTTAAGGTGGCACAACTATTAAATCCCAGAATTCTACCTTCAATTAAAAAAACCATAAAGAAAATGTATACTAATAAGTAATATCGATGTATTTATGGAGTCATAGTTACGAAATGTGACCAGGAAACCAGGAAGTTCTTCAACCATGCTTTAGATGAAACACGTATTCATTTGAATATAGGAATGTAGGAAAAATTCTTAGGTAAGTATTTATTTCTATGAATGTCTGAAAACTGACATGTTGGTATGTGTCCCAAATGGAACTCCACAAAAGCTCAGATCTAGCAATCTGTAACAAAATAGCCACACATTATCTTACACCCTTCTACACACACCTTATACCTTACATGCCATTATATGAATTATTTGTCCCAAATTGTCTGTGTTCCACAATTAGAGTTCTCAAAAAATTCAAGGAAGTCCTAGGCAGAGAAAAACAGTATCATCACCAACCAAAAACAGCCATTAGAAAAAAGCATTCTGCAGAATCTTAAAGTTGTTGCCACTCACCTTTAACCTGCAAAGAGGCCATCTTTACTTATGAAAATATTAGACAACAAGCCTTCTTCAAATATGCTGCATAACCATTCGTGACAAATCTGAAGTCCATCCTAACCAGCAGACCGGATTTCCCTCCAAAAGCAGAGGTACCATGAATTATTCTCAGTTGATCCAGATAGCACACTGCTCAGAAAATAAGGCTACTTACATATCCCTCTCTGCTTTTAGAGCAAAAGTATCCATTATCTATCAGAGTCAGTTTTACCCTAACAGAATGTCTTTGCCTGTAGACCTCACATAAAGGACTTTCCCTGGGGCTCTGGTAACTACAAAGTTTCATTCACAAACTCTGAACAGAAGTATCACATCTGCATTATAAAAATCTCCCAAACCAAGGAAGCCTTGGCTGCTGCATGTCCCTTACCAGACAGTGTTCGTTAAGCTTAGAATCTACTTTGGCGTAAACCTGTCAAGTCAGTGCCAGGAACTGTAGTCATTCTGAAGGCCCCTTTACTTTGGGAGCCTATTACTTGAAAGGTCATGATCTGAAAGCTGGACAAAGTGACAGGCACACCTCTGCTGATAAAATCACAGAAGACACCGTCTACCAGCTTTAAGTTACTAAGGAGCTATCACCAGTCCAACTGTGGTACTTTACAAGGTAGCTCCTACAACCAATTTAAGGACTCGGTTACTGTCTAGTTGATGCCTTGGCCATTTAACCTAAAGCCTCCTCCCACTTCCTTTTAAAAGTGATTTCATTCTCCCATAACTAATTGAAACTGGACTTAGACACATGGGCATCCCTTAACTAACTGGGAGAGATTGTCTACTCCTCTGAACACTACCAGTCCATCACTAAGTGATGCTGTTGGGCATAATCGTAATTTGTATGTAAGAGTGTCAACTATATTTAAGAATGTTAAGTTATCTTTAAGTAACTCAAATTGTCTCAAATATGCAATCACCCCCATCTCCCAGGACCCAGGCTGTGCCATTCATTCAAAAATGTGTAATACTTACTCACTGGTAGGGGACGATGAGTATTCCAGGGTCGCACCATCTCTGATCACACAGACACAAGAGCACTGTAAAAAGCTGATCAACTGAGGTAACCTTGGAAGGAAAAGGAGCACCCTCCTATTTCAAATGCTTTAATGAACAAAGTGATTCAGTACCTGTTTCCTTCTATAGGTGGCCTTACAAGGTCATTCGTCACATCCCCACTTTCTTTCGAGTATGTGTGGCATAGTAGAGGGGCCCATGTGTGAGTCTCAGCTCAACCACTCAACCCCATGACCTGGTCAGAAGTATCCTGATGTGTAAAGGTTATTAACTGACATGAGTCAGGGCGCAAAGTCAATGTTAGGAAGCTGAAACAAGTATCACAACCATTTTATCCTAAGAATTAAAGAGAATTATTAGATGAGCTGCTTAACAGGATTTACTTCATCCACAGTAACTTCAAGACCAGAAAAATCCCAGTCTTAACTCTGACCTCAAAAATATCAGTATGCGAAAAAAAATGTACAACAGTACCTCACAGTTTAATTGCTCTATGCATTTATTAGCTAATATTAATGCAGCAAAGAGGGGACAAAAGCTCACAAACACTGCACACATTTCACAAGACGCATTGCAGGAAAAAAGTGACTTAAGAAGGATCAACAGTATCCTAGGGCCTTGGTGGACGCATTCCTGGGGGAGGTGGACCTGGAAAAGAAAAAGCAAAATTCCATAAGGCCATAGAGGGGGGGGAAACATGTAACTATTTAGGGTCTTGGTTAGCACCATTGGGAACACGTGTACCCACTCACCTCTAATTCCTGGTGGAGGCGGTCTCATCCCTGGAGGGGGCATGCCTATTGGTGTCCCTCGACTAGGGGGAAGCCCAATTGGTGGGCCCATGGGTGGTCTCATACCAGGTGGAGGAGCCATAATTCCTAGAAAGATAAATGGCAGAAACAAGGCCTCATAAATCAGCTCAGCTATGATGGTAGCATTAAACATGGTAATATTTTAAAAAATAAGCCCAGCAGAGAGTTGAAAATCTTCTCCTTGATCACTGACATGTAGGTCATCCTGAACTCAAAAAGAGTCCACAGGGTTTCATTAAATCAGTGTCTAAAGTGGAAAACATACTGAGTTCCTAGTTAGACAGGGTCTTAATTCATCTTAATTCAATCTTCTTAAGAATAATTTTAGTCATTACTTCCTCTAGATGATGCGATTCCTGCATAGACCCACAACTGTATCTAAGATTCAATCCTTTACCTCTAGTTCATCAATCCCTTACCTGGAGGTGGGGTTGCTCGACCAACAGGCGTGGGTGGGGTCCCCCGCCCCGGCGGGTACTGAGTCGGGGCTCCAGCGATGCTGGCTGTAGCAGCAACAGCGGCAGCAGCCACAGTGCCTCTTCCCTGTGGGGTCATCACCTGGGAAGGAAGGGTCGGTCAGACCACGGGAGAGGTAAGGCATGCCCTCACCTCCCCAAATACAGAAAGTAAAAGGTGGATCATGGCCTATTAAACACAAAATAATTAAAGCAATTCTGCGCTTCTCCCATTATTCTCATTTAAAAAGAAATTCAGCACTCTTACATTCCCCTTTAAACAGAATATGCCCCCACCTTTAAACCTAATAAGCCCCTCTGCGTTTCCTCAACTCTAGTTTTTCCATCTACCTTCCTCTTCACTCACCAGTGGTGGGTGAGTTACTCTTACCTTGGTGGCTTTAATCTGTTCCCTTCCTAGTGGACACCTGTCCCTCATGTCCCTCTACAGCATATGCTACTTACACAGAAAAGGATGTACACCCAGGTTTTTAAATCTCCTCAGCCTCAGGCTCTAGGCACTTTCTCCCAACAATACAGAATCTTCTCCTGGTTTCTCACCTGTTGGGATGGCCCCCCAACCCCTCGGACAGGGCCTGCTAACCCCGCAGGAGCCTGGGGAATTGGAACACCAGCGGGTACGCCTCTGCCAGCTGCCCTGCCAACCCCAGGGCCTCCTGCAGCTCCGGCAAGTGGTACCCGGGCAATGCCAGTCTGAAAGAAGAAAAATTATAGCTTGAAACGAATGATCCAAAGTTACCAATAACCCTATTCCTAAAAGTAGATTACCCCTTCCCACCAACTTCCCACATCACCTATCTCATATTAGTTCTGAATGCCAAAGAATTAAGGGACCAGTGCACCACAGAGGCATCCTGCAAATTAAATGTACATTTGTCAAACCGTGAATGCGTGTGTCTTCATGACTATACCAAGAGAAAATAAATCAGCAATTCCTTCCCTCATCTAGGTGTACTCAGAACATGGCATAACCCAACACAAAACCCTTAACCTGTAAGTATAGACAAGCAAGAACTGACACCAAGGGCCGGGCACATCTCACTTGACAAAGGTATACTATCCTGTGCCTCTGGTGTACCCCGATTCAGCAAATCTCTCAAATAACGTGATGTCCTTCCACATCAGTGTTCTGCCCTGTCCTACACCTTCCTTACATCTTTGGGGGGTGGTCCCTCCACAGTCATGGAAACCAAGTTCTCCCCACGCAGCAACACCAGACCCAAAACCCGCTTTTCTTCACGCTCAGGCTGCTTTGCATTCTTTGGCCTATAAATTAGAAAAAAAATTAAGTTATGGATCATTCACTCACTAGAATATTACAGGACATTAAGTATCAACTAAGACAACAACTGATGCCAAGATGCTCTGTTCACACAGTTAATGAGTTGTGACAAAAACAAAACTACATTGGCTGTTAAAAGGTAAAGCTTTTCCAATCCTCAATCTTTCAGAATGTTTCCTTAATGTTATACTACAGCAAAACTAACTTCTCTGTGAAACAGATTCAAATAACATTGCTAAGAACTTTTTAAAAATAGTACTGATTTTAAAGCTTGTATTTTTTCCTTCCAGTTGTATTGAGATATAATTGACACACAGCACTATATACATTTAAGGTGTAAAGCATTATGATTTGACTTATATACTCATGATTATCACAATTAAGTTTAGTGGACATACAACATGGCTTACAGATACAAAAGAAAAAAGTTTTGCCATATAATGAAAACTCCCAGGATTTAGTTTCTTAGCAACTTTTATATATAACATAGAGAAGCATTAATCACATTCATCCTGTTGTATATTACATCCCTAGTACCTTTTTCTCTTAACTGGAAGTTCATATCTTTGACCCTTTCATTCAACTCATCTTCCCCCACCTCGTGCCTCTGGAAGCCACAAATCTGATCTCTTTCTGTGAGTTTGTGTCTGAAGTGTAAGTGACCTACAACACTTTTAGTTGCGGGTGTACAATACTGATGCAGTATTTCTATACGTTATAAAATGATCACCACTAAGACTCTGAAGACAGGCAAAACTGAAACCTCAAGTTTTCATGTTAAGATGGGATGTAAATTATTATTTAGGTTGAATTATCCTATTAACTTAGTGAAGAGTGAAGCAGAATTAAATATGCCTAAAGCTCTCATCATATGCCGTTAGTATTCATCAACATCCTAAGGTTTTTTTATTCTTTTCAGAAATAGATGATCTATACAAAAAATTAAGACTGAAGCATTCATCATCCTAGAGTTTCTGAAATTATCCAAACTGGTATACAGAAAGAAGACTAATAGTGGAAGAGAGATGGACTATGTTATGAATTCTATTCAGATTTAAGAACAGATTTAAGACCATAGCAGACAGGAGAAGCTGCTTATCATCTTTCTCTTCATATTTGAAATCCCTAAGTGAAGTTCAAATTAAACTTCTGAACAGTGAAGCATTAACTGTGGTAAGAGAAGATAACAAGCCAAGAGTCAAGGGTGAAGCCTTGTAAATTCTGCCTCAAGGTAAGAGACTGAAGCAAAATCATCTTGAACCTCTAGAGAGATTACAAGCACCGATCTAAATACTCTTCTGAATGAAAAGTCAGCTGAGTGGGAGCAGAACGCTACTAGGATCCACCAGCTGGTATGTGCCCTTGCTGCGGGCAGTCCAACAGTGCCCTGTCAAAGGAAGCTCCCCAAAGTCAGGCGGATAGAGGGTGGCCGCATATGGGAAGGCACAAGCACATGGGGTTATTCTGGAAGAAAGGCCAAGGGCAAGTCACAGAGATAAGTAAGCAAGGGAGGTTAGGGACTGATGCCAGATCAACACAGATCATGATGATTCACACACAAAACAAGGGGCGTAACAGAGGCTGGCTGAACACATGCTAGACCTGGCCTGGAGAGTTCTATTCACATTCCAATTCCTAGACCATTAAGAGTAACTGTTATTCTTTAGAGTTCTTCAATCTGAAGGAATGTTGCAGAAGCCAACCTATCAACATTTCTCAAGTTTTCCAAATAAATATATCTTGGTCTTTTGATCATACTATATACAGTTTTATTCCTAGTTAAGTTCATAACTGTATTTCCAAACGTAAAACAGTAGTGTGAATACATAAGGTTGGGTGACCTGTCCAATTCAGAGATGAGGCCAGGTCATTAGACAAGAGGCCAGTCCTGGCTCATTTTCCCTACCTCCTTCAGTTACCCTCTGTAAACCATTACTTGGTGGCCAGCTGCTCCCTCATACCCTAGTACCTAAACCCAAAGTGGCCTCCTTACTTGATCTTTCTGAACTCGTCACAGTCACAGAGGATCAAGTTCATATGCTTGTCAAAAGCCTTAAAGGTGCCGATGAAGATCCGGCCATCTTGCAGGATGCATCTCATCCTATAGTCAATGTGCTGCAGCATCTTGCTGCTCTTTCCCACCGTCTGGAAGGAGTAAGAGAAGACCCAGTCATTAGCCTTCCTGCAGCTACTTTCTAACCCTCTCTGGCCTCTTCCCCACTCCTATACCAATCTAAACCTTAACAAAAATAGCACGCCTCCCACCTTTTCTCCATCCCTTTAATACACCAGACCAGGACCACTTATCGTCCCCCTGTGGAACCCTCTACTTCTCATAATCGACCCCCATACAGTTCCCCTAAATATATTTCTTCCCCAGTAGATCCCCAAACCCAGTTCTTCCTTTTACTACTCCATCATTCTAATTCCTGCCTTTCCCAATTCTAATCCCAAATCCCACCCTCCTAAAGAAAACTTGACTGTAGACTGTTTCTTCTACCCCTGACATCTAGACAAATGGTGGGCGATTCCTACTTTCATCCAAAAGTTTGCAACTCCCACCAATACAATGCAAATACAGTGCACTATTTTTCAGTTCCCTAAAGGCCTCTGTCCCAGGTTCCACCATACCCCACATTCCGTATCGTTAAGAACTTGGATCAGTGTTTCCCAAACTTTTTCTATTTCATTTTTGTCCCACTAGGCACCCTTTCAAAAGATTTTCATCCTAATTTGCCCAGTCTTCTGACATTTAACATGCAGAAATACAATATCTCTATTTACAGACACCCTTTGGAATACCATGAACCCGTGGTAAGATTCTCCCTAACTTATCAAGAACTAATTTTTGCCCCCTTGGCAGATCCTCCCACTGAGAATACACTCTTGATCAGCTTAAATGTAAATGGAAACAAAAAACTGATACGATGCCCTCTGTCCCTCACTACAGACTGCTTTCCTTTGTACTGATCAAGCCCCAAAGCCCCAAAGCCCTGCATTTTTTAGGTAGATATTTTGTCTATTAGAACCTGACCTCAAGAGTCCCACATCTACAGGATGGTCCCTTTCTACTCTGATGAACAATTCTCTTCTGTATTTCCTCGCAAGATCTCTTTCCAAACCACATTCCCACTGGAGCAGGATGACAAACACAGCACAGCTCTCCTCCAGTTACTATTTTCCATGCAGTGAGGTATCATTTCCATACATTAATTCTTTATTTCTAACATGAAGAGCCCCCAAACACCCCACATTCTGGCAATCCATTATACTGGGCCCTCACAGTAGCTTCTCATCCCTCTGCCCCAATACGCATCTTACCATGATTGCTGTTCCACCAAGTCCAATGTCCACAGGAAAAGTTTCAGGATCCTTAAGACCTAAGGGAAGGCTACAGATAAAGGTATGACGCAGGTTCTCCTACAAACAATGCAAGCTGGGGCAGAAGCTTCAGATAGCAGATGGAGCCTGCAGAGGAAAGCACGATCTACTAGCTGCACTGCAATCTACCACGTTATAAAACAGACAATTTTGCATGAAAATTACTATAACAGGTATTCAAAAACAGCCCCCCTCAAGCTCTCATACCCACCAAGTAAACACTAAGTTTCACTATTCCCTCATCTTAACCCCTGCTGTCTACATACCTATGGTTATGAGTTTGATGAATTTTATACAGAAATTCTTAATCGTGTCAAAAATAAGCTTTATTTTTCATTCCCAAAGTGTAGTATTTTCTCTTTCCATTCCTATTTAACATACATTGTGTTTCATTCTCTAGTCCTAAACTAATACCAAGTCATCTCAACTTCAACAATTTGGTATCCTTAAGTTTCTCCATCTGAATTACTCCTGAGTTAGTGCAAACTTTTGCTCCTTGGCTGAACCACATAAATGTTTTCAACCTCAATCTTCCCTTCCCCCAAGCCAAAGTCCCTTCAAAATAACGCTAGGAAACTTTTCCTCACCAAGAACCAAATACATTTTCATGTACCTGCTTAAGATGTCGTTTGTTAAAAGGGGACTTAAAACTACTGAATGCTTTTATAAATATAAGGTTAACTTTCTTAGTAAACAGTGGAATATGGATTAGAACAGTATTATCATTTTCCTGATGTAATTAAGAAAATGATTCTAGTAAGTATATGAGAACCAAATCTAGCCAAGTCTGGTAAAGGGTCTCAAACTTCTAATTATATTCATTAAAAAGGAAACACAAATTATGTTACTTTTGAATGGGAATTTGGATTTACACATAAAAGCAACTCAGTATCATAAACAAAATGTGGTATGATTGCACTTTTAACAATGCCAACATTTCCACTAAGAATGTTCTCCACTATTTTCAGTGAAGAAAATTGCCAACAGTAAAATAAACTGGTCAGGTACTTTTAAAATCATCTATTTTAGTATGTGAAAATGAACTCACTTGAATGATGGTTATGAACTAAAGCAAAATCAAAATGATAAAGTAAAATAAACTACAGTCTTCTACATGGACCTGTAACACTAGATCAAAAGGTAACATAATTGTATAAAATTAACAATTCAGTTAAGTGGGGCATCATCTTATCTAAAAAAATACACTCCTGATCGTTACTGTGAATGTCTTGTCTTCTAAGCTTTGTCTTCCATGTGTAAACTGCCATGCATCCTTTGTGCAGTTTTCCATGGAAGACAACCTTCCCCCCGTAAATATAGTTTCTAACCCAAACTCACACGAGAAGTTTAAACCTTGTAATTCAGATGTTCTGAACTCTAACAGGATTCTCTATAAGGCAGAGTCTAAATTCAGGAATACTTGGTGTATGTTTGAATCATTAACGATTTCCTTTTTTATAATAGTGTATCTAAGATTTAGGATCTTCAGCAATCCATAGCGACAGAAAGTAAATTAAGTGGCTGTCTGAAATAGGGTGGTGGAAATGGGGGATGAATTAAATGGGCATGAGGGAGCTTCCTCAGGTAATGGAAAATCCTAAGAGTACACATGGCAATGGCTGCAAAATTCTGTAAATTTACTAAAAATCACTGGTTTATAACTGGGTGAATTCTATGGTATATAAAGTATACACCAAAATAAAGCTGTTTTTAAAAAGAAAAATGTCAGGACCTTCAAATAATGTTAAAGTTCATAATATGATTACTTTTTATATGGCCATTGGTGCCCCTCAAAACAAAAAGAAAGCTAAACATTCAACAAGACCCTATTAGTGGAGAACGCTCCTTTACCAACAATGGAGACATGCTACCAATGAGCCAAAAAACAGTGATTACTAAGGGAAAAAAAGCAGGGCTGCAAGCAGGTTTTCAAAATTTCATGTAAAGGAAAAAAGTGTAATCACAAAAAAAGTTTCTGATATAGATTAGCATAATGAGAACTAGGATTAAATGTGCATTAAAGGTGGGAATTTGTAGTCAGTCACCTCTGCAGTGAAAGTTTAAAATTCAGAGACAAAATTTTTCCTTTCAATTGTCAAAAAAGATTATTTAGGGTACAGATTTCCCAGTCTGGCCGGATTCAAATATTTTATTCCACGTGGCATTTCTGAACACATATCTAATCAGCCCTAGTTTAGAGTTTAGCTATTAAGAAACCAACAAGTTCAAACAAGATTTCCTGCTGTGGTGAATTAGAACAAAAAAGGAAGGCCAGTCAGTCCTGTGTCTGTCCATCCAACCTATTTGAGGTCCCAAACCCCTCCCACATCCACAATGTTGTTAATCCAGTTATCAAATATAAAAATGCACCTGGGGATTTGAGTCATGAGCTAAAGACATGGAGACATACAGAACTGGGGATATAAACATGTAGTGTGTGTGTGTGTGTGTGTGTATGTTATGTGTATGTGTACGTGTATATGTGTGTGTATATATATGTAGTTGTATACGTGTATATATATACATATATACATATACACACACACACATAATCTAAGAGACAATACATTTCACTCAGAATTCAGAACAGGGGTTGACTGAAGAGGTTCAGAAAGGCTTTCCCTTAATGAGATGGACTTGAAATTTAGGAACAATTATCTCTTCTCTCTAAATTTAGCACACCATAATCATTAACCCTTGTAAGGGAAAGGAGGCATCACTTTGTACAAAGATCAAATGCATCTCTGCAGCAGAGAACAAAATGCTTGATGAAGAAGATGACAGCAGTAGCACATGTCACCAAGCACTAAGGAATCTCTCACCAAAATGCACATAAACCAATGGATGGCCCAGAGCCCAACTCAAACATCCTGGGATCCCTCACAGGAGGAACAGTTCTCAAACTACTGGAAAGTGTAGACTTTTAAATTATTAAACTACATAAATATGCAAAGCGTCTTTAAACAAGATACAATGGCCAGACTTGGCCAACATACATATAAGGCACGAGAAGTCACAGAATGGTAATGTATTAGTGCTCATTCATAAATGATAAAGTACCAACCTTCAGGAAAAAAATGTGCAAAAAAGTTTAACAGGAAAAAACATGAGTAAGTGGAAAATATTTATCCACAAAGCAATGCCAGTTAAAACCAGAGGAAAACAATTTCCCCTTCTTGGAACTGTTTATCAAAGGAAAAAACAGACCCCAAAAGGCGGTACTAAGAAACTGTCACTCTAGTTATTGTTCTTGAGGACAATCACCACTGCTTATGATGCTGTTAGCAACAGAACAAAACATTTATGAGTCACACTAGTATTTGTACCCTGCAGCCCAAAATTGGATCCTTATCCTGATACATTTGAAGTACCAATTACATCTTAAAAATAATAGAACTAATATTCGTAACAGCACAGCAAACTAGGGGAAAAAACACAAGTACAAGGGAAAAGTGCATCACGAATGGACCATCATTTATTCATTACAAATGATAATTGTGAGGATTGTGTAATAAAATGAAGAAACATTAACAATACACATTTAAGTTGAATAAAATTAAGTTTAAAAGCATGATTACGACTGACTACATTTTCAAAAGAAAATTCAACCTTATGCTATGATTTAAACATGAGTATCTGAAGTCTTTCATTTACTTTCCAATTTTCCTTGGTTATCACTCACATACTTTAGAGTTTTCTATTTACTTTCCAATTTTCCTTGGTTATCACTCACATACTTTAGAGTATTATCATGAAAAAAACACCGTATCAATTGTTAAAGGACTTAGAAGAGTATGTGAACTGCACTGAGGAGCCAAAAAATTCTTGATTAAAAAAAAATCAATTGTGTGCCCTTATGCATTTTAAAATGCCCTTAACTCAGGGGAACAGCTGAGGACAATGATCGGATTCCACTGTCTGAAATCAATTCCACTGTCTTGCAATCAATTCCAGGCAATTCCTGGACAATGCAGGGTAAAGGTCAGCAGGGGAGGATTTTTCCTGTCTTAAAATTCAAAATGCTGGCCATAAGCAGGCCTAGTTAATTTGAATTGAGGGGTAATATTTCAAAACAGAAATCAAAAAAATCTCGATGAAAACTCATCTATAAACCCCCTTTCTTAGTTTCTAATAAGTACATATCAAATCCTTTGGATTAAGGTCCTTTTAAAATATAATTAAAGGAAAAATAAATTATTAAATCTAAATCAACTTAATAGCTTTTTCCTTAAAATGCAAGCAACCAACATAAAGAGACAAACTGTAAATAAATCTATGTCACATTGAAAAATAATGGATAATAGCTTTATTACATTGTCAGAGGATTCAAATACATTCGTAAAAAAGTGAGAAAAAAACAAAAAAGGAGTAATTAGTAAGTAAGTATGGAAAAATATTAAGCTTCTCATTTGCTAATGGTGTGATGTGTATTTATAATTCAACAGACACAACTGGTATGTCATTAAAATAACCAATGCAGATGGAAGTGTATTGTAACTGGCGATATATTTTTTCAAGGTGATAAAGACTGACTAATGCTTTGTAATTAAATTTAGAAAAATTCATATTCCTTGATTTAATTTTTACATTTGCATATCCAAGGAAATTATTCTATCTAATGTCTTATGTAAAGCAATTCACTGAAGCTTTATTTAAACCATCAGCAGAAAAAAATGAAATCTTTCACAAAAAATATATTAGCAGGATAACTCAACAGCCATTTATAATGAATTATTTTTTCATATATTAGGCTGAAAATTAGTACAAGTTAAATATGAATAAAACTACCTAGAAAGCAGACTACAATGGCTGGAAATACATGACAAGTGTCATCAGGATAAAAGCATTAAGGTCCTGCTTTTACTTTTTTAAACTTTCTGCAATGTGTTTATTTGTATGAAGCCTTTAAGGAAAAAAAAATCTTTCAACATATCCCAAATAATTACATGACCTCCAAACACCCTCCTCTTTCACTAGTTCTTTATTCTTGATCATGAATGCATCAGCTCTAACCTGTTATTTCTTTCCGCTTGCAATCAGCTACCTGGGTGCTCCAACACTGCTTTAACCACCTCTTGGCGTCTCAGCTAAGAATGCCTGTCTCAGCTCCGCCTGGAAGTCCACCACAGGCACTTGCTGGGGCTGCTGCTGCTGTGACCGCCTCGGGTACAGGTGACACCTACGACAAGAGCACGGTACATAAAACGGAAAGACATTTTGCCCATATAGACAATAATTTATGGAATAAAATATACAGACTCTATTTCTTAAGATAGTCATTGAGGGTCAGAGTACACCACTGCCTCATGAAGAAACTACAAAACAAGGAGCCTCTCTGCACACAGGGATGTGCAAGGAACTGGGCCATACTTACCCAAGCTGGGGATACTACCAAGGAATCATTAAAAAAAAAAAAAAAGCTCTTTTGGCTTAAAATGTCCTGTGAAAGTACCGTTAGTACAATATCCATTACTTACTTTCCAATCTGGAAACAATTCTTTAACCCCTAGGGAGGGAGGTGGACATTTTTAAGGCATTTCCAGTGAGATACTAAGGCTGTGAACCATGCTATCCTTCCAAGAAATCACTACCTAAAACAAACAACTTCCAGCATACAGACTATTCAGGCTCAACACTATGTAACTCGACCATCTTTCAGTTAGAAGGGAATTCTGGAGAAAAGCATTCAACGTGTTCCTACATGTCAGTCACCTGGCTCTGAATCTGATCCTGAGGATAAGGAAGAGATACAGCAAGTTACACAGGTTACTGGCTAACAAGATAAGTGTGAAAATTCTGCCCTGTATACATACATAAGAATATTCAACAGCAGTTGGATTTTAAAATGGATCTTTGATAAGAGGTTTTTCCAGTATTTTCTGTAGTTTCTAAGTAACATTTTTCAACATTCTGTTATATAATAATGAATTATGCTGGACTTTGTCCATGGTTCCTAGGAGGTAACCTCTAGTCCTTTGCACTTAATAAGTGGTAGAAGTGTCGTCTGTTTTTCATGGTGGGCCCCCTGGATCACACCAGAGTTAACTCTAACAGGATGTCTCAGGACAGGGGCTGGGCAGGCTTCATGTAGACCTATCACGTGATTAGAGGGGTGGGGCTTTGAGCCTGACCTCCTGGGAAGGATGGGAGCTGGAAACTGAGACTGAGGTCAATTACATGGCATTGATTCATCAACCCTGCCTATTTAATGAAATCCTAATCATTAAAATCTAGACACTCAAAGCTGCGGTGTGCTTCCTGGCTGGTGATATACACTGATGTACTGAGACTAAAATATCCTGAGGACATGGAAGCTTCAGGTCTTGTCCTATAGAGTCCCTCCATGTGGCTTACCCTGATTTGTACCCTCTATAATAAAATATTAAGTATAGTGTTTTTGAGTTCAGAGTCATTCTAACAAATTATGGAACTTGAGGGAGTAGTGGAAACCCTCAATCTGTATCCAGCTATTAAGAAACTACAGGTGGCCCACAAACTCTAGAGCATGCAGCTGGTATCTCAGTAGAGGGTCATCTTAGGAGGGCCTGTGCCCTTACCCTGTCAGAATCTGCACTAATCCAAGGAGTAAGGATCAGAACTACACTGCTCACACCTCTAAGTTTCCCCATTTCAATCACAGAATAATTAAATCTTTATTTGGGCATTCTCAGTTTCATTCCTTTCATTACCAAACAGCAACTAAGTCTTGACCTAACAATATTCTAACTCATTTTTAAGCCAAAAAGAAAAAAAAACCTTTTTGTTTTTGCTTCTTGCAACTCCTACTGTAGTGTTCCTCCTGGGTTTAATGTAAGACTAAGGTAAGAAAAAGAAAATAAGATGCAGTACATACAATATGTGCTTCATAAATGCAAAATATAAATTCAGGAATAATGAATTCAGAAGACTCTCCAGCCCCAGTCTCTAATTTCTCTCAAACTCACAATACATCAAGAAATAGGGAAGACATGTACCAGCCCCAAAGAACTAGTTGATTTGGTGACGTATCTATTGGAAGACAGAATAACCATCAATTCTAGGAGTATATATCAGTGACATTCTATTAATACTTGCTGTTGGTTAGTGGGACGGTGTGTGCATCGTGTTTTGGGTTTTATTCAATTTTGTTTTGTATTTGTTGGATGGAATACTAACAATAATCCTTTACTGATCTTTACAATTGGCATCCACACAATTCCTCAGGAATACTGACTCTCAGTACTTGTGGTTTGGGAAAAGGTGGAAGAGACTGATAGATTGTAATTAAAATGAACACTCAGACTACATCGTGTCCCAATCTTGAGCGAATCCTGAGTATATGTACCATTAAGCAGAGATTAGAGTATCAATACGGCTTACCCTTTTCTATAATCCACCTACTCTCAAAGAGGAAAAAAGTGGCTGGCGAAATTACACTGTTTCCCTAACTCAAAACTTCCCTCAGATTCTTCCCTTACTGCTGCACCCTATAATATTTATACATAATATATAAAACAGAGGTCCGGAAAATAGTTACTTCTTCTTTGAAAGCTACAAAATGTTTCTATTGATATGGACAAATTAATGACACCTAAAGCAGGTTTTTACAAGATTAGGATATGATCACCTGTTATACTGGTCCACAATGATGCTGCATAAGATAAACACTCTAATAAAATATAGCAAATATGATAGAACCTTTACCCACTAATAAAGATCCTCCCCTAAAATATGCCCCCCACCCATACTTCTACCATGTAGACGAAAAATGTTAACAAATAATGTTTCGAGCCTATAGCCACTGCAGCTGCCCCAAACTGTGCACCCTGTGGGGATCAGGATGGAGAAAAGCAGGATACTGGCCCTAGATAGATAAGGTGCAGATCAAAGAAACGGTTTCATGGTAATGAGTTCAGTGAGCTCAGACACTTGCATCTTCTCATACACAGAAAAGCACTAAATTCATTAACTTGAGATGTCTGGCTTTCTTTAATTAACAGTAATCTTTTGACATTTTGACTAACTGGTTTTTGTTACAAAACTTCTATGTATCCTGGCTCCTTCCCTACCTCTTTTGAGTAGTCCCTCAAGAGCTACCCGAGAGGCTGTCTTCCCAGCTTAAGTCCTCAGTTTTGTCTACTAAATAAAACATAATTCTCAACCTTTAGGTAGTACGTGTTTTTTTCAGCTGACGATCACAATCTGTATACTATCTCAAGATATTTCTAGAGATTCTGGGGGAAAAATAGCAATTTTGAAAATTCTCAAGTTACAAAAGACTAAAAGGCGAAAAATTATAATATAAAAGAAATTAATGGGCAAATTCTTATTATAACAAATTATATAAAATATTCACTCATAAAATATTTCCTTTCAAAGTAATCTCCAAAATAAAAATGTAATAAAGAATAATGAACTCTGAATAAATAGTCTCACTAGTAATTAAAATGTGCAACTACATGGAAATTTTTCCACATATAAAATGAGCAAATAACCAAAATAAGACCCAAAATGCTACCTACTCCTTACAACTTTTTAAAGAAGCTTTTGAAGTGAAAAAGTGAAATAAAATGCAAATAAACATTAATAACTACATTTGACCCTTGAACAACATGAGTCTGAATTGCATGGGTCTATTTATATATGGATATTTTTCCAGTAAACATATTGGAAACTTTTTTGGAGATTTGTGACAATTTGAAAAAACAACCTGCAGATGAACCAGAGAGACTAGAAATACGGGAAAAAAATTAAGTTATGTATAAAATATATGTAATATATATGTAATATAAAAATGTGTTAATTGACTATTGGTTATCAGTGAGGCTTCTGGTCAATACTAGGCTGTTTGCAGTTAAGTCTGGGGGCAGTTAAGTTATTAGGCGTTTTTTGCCTGTCTGGGGGGTTGGTGCCCCAACACCCTCATTGCTCAAGGGGTAACTGTAATATTAGCTTCCAGACTGACTGCTTTTATCGTCATTGCATAAGAAATGCAAACAACCTCAATATCCATGAGTAAGCTAATGCTACGTTATATTGCAGCACCCATACTCTGTAATTTGTAAAATGAGGTAGATTTATAAGCACTGACATGGAAAGATTCCCTACAGCATATTGTTTCAAAATAAATCTCATGTATGTCAATAAACAAATCACAAATATGCCTTCCCCATCCCATATGGGTGTACATGTGAATGCACAGGAAAAGGTCTAAAATGATAGCGATCCAAGTGCCTTAGGATTATCTCTGGGGAGGGAAGGGGAATGGACTAGTGGTATCTTAAAGTACATACCTGCTTTTTGAACTCAAAATTAACACAAAATTAAATATGTAAATTAACATCCCTTCAATACACAGAACATTTTGCAAGTACAGAAGTAATTTAGCAACAACATAAATAAGAAAGAAATAATTGTAATATAAACATTATTTACTTAATTACATATTATATAATTTATATGTAATTACATGTAATATATATTTGTTTAAAATATGTATAAAAATACATAAAATAATATGAAAAATAAAATAACTAATTATATGTAACATTTTATATATAGAAAATCATATAAATATGTTGAAAGATGTAGAGTTTTATGAAGATAACACCCACCTAATACATATGGAAAAAAAGGAAATACATTTATTAAAATTTTAATAAAAGTTGAGTTAACTTAGGACATGGTTAAGGATGATTATTTGTTTTTTTTTTTGACTTCATCTATAGAATATGCATATGCTTCTTGCATTAATTAAATTCAGGTCAATGCCCTGATCCCAGGATACTTTGCTCTCATCTGAAAATGGATTCTGCCCTAAAATGGTTCTCAACCCAGACTGTACTCACTCCTGGTTGCTCAGTGAGGCTGTCCTTCTGCGTTTGACTTGGACTTCCACCTCTGGTACGTGTTGTTCCGTAGTCCGTCTCAGGTGTAAGCGGTCCCTGAAGCAGAAAGAGGATTTGTTTCATAGACTTCATCAATTTATTAAACAACTACTTATTTAAAGGTTATATTTAGAGCTAGATTTAATATGGAGTTTTTAAAGTGCTCATAAGCTAACTAAAATAATGCCAACTATATCTCAATAAATCTGAGAATAAACAGTAGAAGTAAAATGTTAGAAGGTTTTTATCCTGAAGTAGTCAGAATCTATCCTAAAACTACTTTTTCCCTTTAGCATCTCCTTGACATCAGAAAATTTGGGGGGAAAATACCAAAAAATTAAGCAAAAATGTGTATGTGTGCATACTTACACTCAGATACAGATATAAATCTATACACTTACAGAGATGTATTTATTTATACACAAACATATTATCAGTATCTACATATCCTTGAAAAAATAGCAATGTTGAGTCTAAAAATAGCTTGAAAAAATCATTATGATAGATCCTTTTGTATAGTGGAATAAAGTATAAAACTTAACAAAATGTCTATATAGGCAACCTCTTGTGCAGATGCTTTTCTAGGATTTGCAAAACAAGAAACTAAAACAATGTTTAAGAATAATAAAACAGCTACAACCATATTATAATCTTTGGAACAGCTCACAAAATGGCTGCTCAAGGAATGGGAACAGGAAGTCTACTTGGGTCATCAAGATTAGAAATGATAGGAATCACTCACAAAACTGAAAATTTAAAATGTCAAACTAGAAAGGAAAGAAAAAACAGTATTCCACATCATACAATGTAATGTCTCCAAAAGAGGCAGAGTTCAAAGGACACATCCCAAAAGACAATTCCCTGAACTCTTGCTATTTTAAAATTCATGTTAGATTATGCAAAGTAATAATCAAAATAGCTTACTGATAACCCTGAATTGTTTTATAGCTTTAAAAACTTAAATGTGACTGGTATACATAAAATAGATAAACAAGTTTATACTGTATAGTACATGGAAATGTATTCAATATCTTGTAGTAGCTAATGTTGAAAAATATGAAAATGCATATATGTATATTCATGTATGACTGAAGCATTATGCTGGACACCAGAAATTGACACAATATTGTAAACTGACTGTAACTCAATAAAAATATATACAGGAAAAAAACTTTAATGTTCTAATTAAGCAATAGAAAAGACCACTAAAAGTCACACACCAGATTTTTAAATGGTAAAAGTACTGTATATACTTTGCTAATCTCCTTGACCTTTGATTAGGCAATGGTTTCTCAGATATGACACCCAAAGTACCTAATAAGGGAAGAATCCATAAATAGGATTTCATCAAAAGTGAAAGTCTTTGCTTCAAAAGGTATTAAGTGAAAGACAATTCACAAAATAGGAGAAAACATATGCTAATCATAAAGCTGATAAAAGCCTTGTATCCACAATATCTTAACTCTTACAACTCAATAGTAAATAACAAAACTCAACAAAATGGGTAAAGGATTTGAACAGATTGCTCTCCAAAGCTACACAATTTCCTCTTAAGCACAAGATGCTACATAAGAGTCATTAGGAAAACACAAATCAAATCACAAACATACCACTTCACACCACAGGAGTAGGATGTGGAGAAACTGCTAGTAGAAATGTAAAGTGGTACAACCTCTGGCACGTCTTAAAAATGTTAACCACATTGTTAACGTGTGACCCAGTATTTCCACTACTAGCTGGAGTGAAATAAAAACACATGAACTTGAGCGTTAATGTTCTTAGCAACATTAACCTTTAGAATCAAAAAAGCAGAAACAACCTAACGTACAACTGAGGATGGATAAACAAAATATAGCGTGGTATGGTATATTGGTACAATGAATGCCATTCAATTATAAAAGGACTGACATACACATGTATTAAACGGTGGTTTCACAAATAAATATATTTACTAACATATTAATACTAATACAATAAAACAGATTATCATGGACCTCTGCTTTGTCATAGTTCATTCATTATGATGGGTCTAATAGTATAATTCAGCACACCCCATAACCCCCCCCTAAAATAATCTTCTGTCCCTTTATGTAACCTTCATCAGCTGCTCAGGTCTGACTTCAACTGAGAAAAAAACCAGCATACAAAGATAATTTTTTCTATGTTTGACATCTTTTTTAATTACATGCAAAATCTTCAATAAGCATCTTTTATTTTAAGTTTGTTCTAAACAAACATGTGCAATTATAATGTCCCTAACTGCATTCCCAAACCATAAACCAGTGTTTCAGAAAATTTAAGCATTTAAGGGAAAGTTATTATATGTACACAATTATTAACTTTTTGCTCCAAAATCACTTTCATTAAAAAGTAATTATCTAGAAATACACTAGAAGGCAAGATGTGATGACATCACACAGTATTTTTCCTAACTGCCTAATATTCTATCAAATATTTAGGATGCCTTATACCAAATCCAAAAAAAAACTTATTAAAAACTCAATTACACCCACCAGTAAGCAAGGTATTTTCAGTTCCATATGAAACCATTTATTCTAAATTGTCAAATCTTTCCCCCTAGTTCTTTGAGATCATCACTACCCATGTTTTTCAAGCATATTTTTCTGAAAATAAAATGGTTCTGAATTTTAAAAAAAACCTCAATTACTAAGATCTCAAGAGTGAAAAATAAAAATAAAAACCACAAAGATAATGTGAGTTAAACCTGTTTGTAATCTTCCCACAAACATAAGAAAATCAGTGTGTCCAAAAACAAAACCTACAGAATCATCAAAGAGAATTCTGAGCCAGCCAGTATTCAGGACCTAGAAAAACAAAAGAAATTAACTACCTTGTCCAATCTTTACTAGCGTGAAGGATGTTGCCTTAACCATCAACAACTCATGCAAAGCTCCTGGTCATGGGCCACCAAAGTGGAGGGGACAGACGGGACCAGCAATAAAGTTCTAACTTACAACGAAGAAAGATTACAAACCTCACTGTCCCTGTCAGGGTGGAGGCAGTACTTATACCGTTCTCACTTCAAGGGTTCTTCCTAAAAGCTAAGTAGCAGAGTGCAGTGTCAAAGAGTTAACTTACAGGCCTTAGCATCTTAAACAAAAAGAAGGGAAAAAGGAGGAATAAAGATGTAACATATCTATATACAGGGGAAATATTTAAGCAATGAAACACTGGTCAGACTAGAGAAACCAATATAATAGAAAATAAAACTATGAATAAACGCAAACCTGACAGTACCTTGCCTTAGACAGCAACACAACAGTCCTTTGACTAAGTGCCCTTGCTCTAAACTTCAGGAAGGGCTCCTGTTCCTTCCCCAGTCTCAAAAAGCCTTGGTACTAAGCTAGATATTCATGGGACAGGACAGAGGCCTCCAAACTTGGGAGGTCTTTCCACAGGGCCTGCCACACTGAGATGCTGAGCCTGAGGGAAGGACCACAAAATGGCGACCAGGACGCTGCAGCTCATCTTGCAAAGGGCCAAAGGATCAGAAGTTCATGTTTGAAGCAGTATCTTCCTACAAGCAGGAAAAAATGTACAGATCGTAAGTATCACAAAATACCACACTCCTGCTATTTCTCAAACTACTCGAAAATAAACAATTCCAGAGCAGAGCTTTCCAAGCTCCTGAATTTACATTTTCCTTAATTACATTCCAACTCAGCACACAAGACAGACTGGCTATGACGGATGGGAAAAAGAAAAAAACTGGCAAGCACATCAAAATTCTGCAAAGAAAAATACTTAAAAATGCTGCCCCCCTATCAAGCTAGTGGAATATAGAATACAGAAATAGTTACTTTGTTAATTATCCTTTCTCACCAAATATTTACAGCAGCTCCAAATTTTTAAATGATAGATCAAAAAAGCATTAACTTAAAATCTGACTAAGGACAAGAATTCACTAATCCCATGTATACCCACAAATCTGTTTCTCTCCTCTGTTCCTCTCCTTAAACACAACTTATAGCCCTCAGTTTCTAGGAGCCCTAGAGGAGCCCCCAATTCCCCAACTTTAGAGAAATTATTCATAAAGATGGCATCACCAATGGAATATCCAGGGATTAAGAAATACTACACTTAAAGTTGAGATGCAGCTGTGCAGTTACATAATCTGGAAAACGGAAATCAAAGGTTATATGAAGGGAAGCTGTCTAAAGGGTTACTGAGTCCACTTGAACATGGCAAACAATTAAGATTTCTCACAATACAACTTAGGGAGAATCTAAGAAATTAAAAAGCTCCTGGACCACTGACGGAGGCTATCTTAAGCAGCACAGGGGATCCTGGAATGTCCTCCAGGCCCCCACCTCTCCCTTCTGCATAAGAAAAGCAAGGGCACAGCACAGGTGCCCTGCCATTCCAGGTAGACATAGAGTGAACACATCGCCCCCAGTATGAATCTTTGGCCTCACCACATTTCCCACCCCACTGCGGCACTGCGGGGAGGGGTCGAACGCAAGGCCGAGAGGCTGAGCAAACCCTTGTCCTTCCTCCTCCCTTCCCGCACCGCAGCCCAGCAGGGGAGGGTCAGTAATTGGGCAAACACGTGAAGAGGGTGGCTGGCAGTCCCACAAAGTGAAGACTGCAAACGCCCAGCCTCAGCCCCACTGCAGGTTGGAAGTGGTGTCATCTCTGCAGCACCTGCGCGCCCCAAACCCACACCTTCCTGACTGCGGCACTAGGGAAGGGGCAGCCGCCCACCCAGGCCTGCCTCCTCCCAGCAGCACTGCGCTCTGGGGAGGGAGGTGCCCATACTCCTGCTAGGCAGAAGCTGCAAGGCCGCCCCTCCCCCACTGCGGCACTGGGGGAGGGGGCGGCCGCCCCACCCCGCCGCGCCTGCGCAGACTCGCACCTCTGCGGCAGCAGCCATCTTTGTGGAGCCGCACAATGGCTGTGACGCGGCCGCCAGACGCCCGTGCGCTCCCGAGTCTGCCTACAAATATCTCATTCCAAACGCAGAGAAAAATCAGTGCCAACAAGGAACGCCCCTGGACGTCGCATCCCAAAATGCGGCAGGTCTCTCACAAGATGCGTTAAGCAGGCTCAGGACATCACATCCCTAATCTTACACCCAAAGCCACAAGTGTGAGGGATTATCAAGAAGTTAAATGCGTAACAACCCTATACTCCTGCAGCCATCCCTTCGGCTGGGAGGTTCGCCACAACATGCAGACTCTAAAACCACTGTTGGTCACGGAATACTGAACGTTCTCCGCTTTCTGCAAAAATGGACGCCCCCCACCTGCCCGTCGCCTCCGCCCCCGCCCCTCCACCTCCTCCCCCGCCCCTCCACCTCCTCCCGTCCGCCTCCACAGCCACTCCGCCGAGACCCCCACCCCGTTACGGCCCCCTCTACCATCGCGCTACCTGCTCCCGTCACCGTCATCACGGTCACCCCGCCGCCCCACGTACCACTCAGGACCCCTGCCAGTCCCCATGCCGCACCTGCGAACCACGCCGCTGCGGTCACCACGGTCACCCGCCTCCCCTCCACTCCGCCATAGTGACCCCCTCCCCCCAACCACCCCTTCCCACCACAGCCTCACGCGACCGCCTCCGCGCCTGTTGCCCACCCCATGGCTGCGGACACTCCTGTGACCCACCCCGTCTTCCTTCACCGCCCTACGCACCAGCTACCATGCTGTCCCCTTGCCACCGTGCTCATGGCCTCAGACCCCAGGGACAAAGGGCCACCCAAAAAAGGATCTGATGGGGTACACAGAATGGTGCAGACGGACAAATGCGTCACAAAACGCAGACACGATACCATCCGAGGGGAGTCAGCTAAGCCCCAAGCCTCCGAAAGGTGTCCCATCTGGTCATCCAGACAAAGAACTGGACAGCCCAGACCGCCACCAAATACTACAATACTCCGAGTTCCGCAACCTTCGACTATCAAACAAGCAGAAATGTTCCCCACGCTGTCTCTGAGGGAAGACACCGCACCGCTGACCTGGCCCGCTCCATCGCGCCGCTGGCCGCTCGTCAGAACAGAACGTCATGCATCTCCAATGGCTGCTCCACTCTGCGCTGGACTCGCCGCAGCGGCACCAACTAATTGCGGCCGCTGGGCCTGCGCATGCGCGGCAATCTACCGCGCCGCCACGCGCGCGCCTCCCGCCCCCACCCACGCCTTGGCCGCGCATGCGCATCCTCTTGCCGCAGTGCCGAGGTGATGCCACGATACCGGCGCCCCCGCGCCTCTCCAGACCGGAAAAACGGGGGGATGGTATCTAGTGGCCCCAGAGTAGTCAAGGCACTGGGGCTTTGGGATGGGGACTCCAGGGACCACCATCAGCCTGGGGCTAATGGCTCTTAGTATTCACACTAAATAGTACTTGGTACTTCCCAGGGTAGTGGAAATTGGGTATTTTTTGTTGTTGTTGTTGTTGTTAACTTTAAAAAGTCCTTATTCAGATTTCCTGTTTTTTCCTTCAGTGTCCTTTTCCTCCTGCAAGATTGCACACATATTACATCAGTGATCATGTCTCTTTAAAAATCTTCTTGGCTATGGCAATTTAGATTTTTTTTAAATGTTTACCATGTTTATTTTTTTAGTGATCATTAATTACTTTTAGAATTAAAAAAATAAGTATTAAGATAAAATAACTGTACTTAATTCTAAACTCTAATGGACTTGACTGTCAGTTTCTTGACCCATCTTCCACTCTTTTCTAGCCTGCACTTTTTGACAACTCTGTCCACTCTCATAATTTCCTGGCTGCTCCACAGTATTAAAGAAGCTGGCTTTGGATACCGTAGAAGGTATGATTAAGGCTCCTTGAGACTTACAGACAGTCCACAGACAGCAGCCATTTTGGCACACTCATCTAAAAGAGACAACATTTTAAATCAGTTTATAAGCCTGATTGAGCATATCCTGCAAATGGGAAGTGAATATACAGAAAGGGAGACTTCACCAGGAAACTACGCTGTAGGGACTGTGCTGCTAGAAACTGATGTCTCCCAACCATTCCCTTTTTTCCAAAGTCTAGACTTAACCTCAAGTCAAACACTCAAGGGCCTAAAGGGCTTTAAATAAGCTTAAAGGACACCAAATCCGGACTAAAACTATTCTGTGTGTAACTGATGCTGCAGAATTTGCAAATAAACTGATCTGAACTCCTACATCACACCATATACAAAAATCAACTCAAAATGGATCAAAGATCTACATGTAAGAGTTAAAAATGTAAATCTCTTAGGAGAAAACGTGGATGTAAACCTGTGTGACTTGCCTTAAGCAATACTTTCTTAGTTATGACACTAAATGCACAAGCAACCAAAAAATAAAAGGATAAATTGGACTTCATCACAATTGCTTAAGTTTTTACATCAGATATCACTATTAAGAAAATGAAAAGAGAAGCACCAGAACAGTGAAAAATACTTGTAAATCATATACTATAAAGAAAGTCTTACTTTTCAACAATAAAAAGACAAAAAAAATTTAAACGGGCAGAGGATTTGAATAGACAATTCACCAAAAAATGGCAGACAAATGGCCAATCAGCACATGAAAAGATGCCCATCTTTAGTCATTAAGGAAATGCAAATGAATAGCTCAATGAGATGCCACTTCACACCCACTAATCAAAAAGACAATAACAAGAGTTATGGAGGATATGGAGAAATTGGAGCCTTCCTCCATTGCTTAAAGGAATGCAAAATAGTATAGTGATTTGGGAAAACAGTTTGGGAGTAGCTAAAAATTTAACAATAAAGTTACCCTACAACCCCCTACAGTTCTGTTTCTAAAAAGTATGTAACACACAATAAATGAAACCATGCATCTATGCAAAGCAGCATTATCATAACAGTCAAAAAGTGGAAACAACCCAAATGTCTGTCAACTGATATGCGGATAAACAAAAATCGTGGTATGACATATCTGTACCATGGAGTAGCATTTGGCCTTAAAAATGAATGAAGTATTGATTCAAGATACAAAATGGACAAACTCTGAAAATATTATGCTACGTGAAAGGCCACATTTTGTATGAGTCCATTTATATGAATTGTTCAAAATAGGCAAATCCATAGAGTCAGAAGCTGATTAGTAATTGTCAGGGAATAGGGGAAAGGCAAATGGAGAGTGACTGCTAATGTTTACAGTGTTTCTTTATAGAATGATGAAATGTTCTGGAATTAGCAGGAATAGTTGTAAAACATTGTGAATATACTAAATAGCACTGATATGTGCAGTTTTTAAAAAGGTAGATTTTTCTGGTACATGCATTGTTAATCAATTTTTTTAATCCAAATTGAGGGACATCCTATAAAATACCTGACAAATGATCCCCAAAACTGTCAAGTGCATCAAAAACAAAGTGAGCAACTTTCTAAGTCTTGTCACAACCAACAAAAGCCTTGAGACAGGAGTATTAAATGTAATATATTATCCTGAACGAGATCCTGGAACAGAAAAGGGACATTATGGGGAAACTGAGGACATCTGAACAAAGTGTACACTTCTGTTAATAATGTACCAGTATTGGTTCATTAATTGTAACAGATGTACCATACTACGTGAGACATTAATAATAGGGGAATGTATGTACGAGGTATGGGTAGTTGAACCCAGATTCAAGCCCAGCGCTCTGCTTCCCATGCCCCTGACCTTAACCAATATTGTATCTTTTGATGACTGTCTAGTATGGGCAATGACTCTCTTCATTATAATTTTAATTCCACAGCGTGTGTGTACAAATCCATATGTATGAGCCACAACCCAAGCAGAAAGCTGTGTGAAAAGACAAAATGGCAGAAAAGTCCCAAAACTGCTCCTGTAGGCTCCTTACTTAAGGCACTGGGTGGCAGTCTTTCACTACATGCACAGTTGGTTCAGAAGAAAGCTGAATAGGGTAGAGAAATCATTGCTGTAGGCTCCCTCCCCCGACCCTGGGGCACAGCAGGAGGGAGATTCTCCTATTAGCAGTCTTCCTAGAAAATCCCAGGGCCAACTCAGGAAGAGGCTGAGCAGGGGAAGAAAGTACCCGCCTCCTCTTGAGAATGGTCAAACAGGACGGACACAAGCTACAAAAAAGGCACTCCTCCACCCACAGTTTTAGCGCATTCTCTCTATGTCCCCAGGCTTTGGGGCAAGAATAGTCTAGGCTGTCAGACAACTATACCAAATTCCACCTACAGCCTGTGCATTTTTTTAAATGGTTGGGAGGTAATAAAATGAAAGACTATTTTATGACACAAGAAAATTATATGAAGTTAAAATTGCCATATCCATAAATTAAATATACTTAGAAAACAGCTGACTAGAAAAGCCCAGTTTTTCCCAACTGAGTAGGGAAAACTCCAGGTCACTAACTTTTGTGTTTCTCCTTTAGCTTCACTCAATTACCACATTCATATAAAATACTTCTGACACTTTCGTCACCAAATGCAGGGGGGAGGGAGTTCTCTACACCAAGCAATTATCCATGACACCAGCTGGTTGTCTTACAATTTAACTCAGTTCTAACACTATCTATGTGTATACAGCATCAGATACCACAGGTCAAGGGCATATTCCCACAAGACTGCTCCCACCCCACCTCAGATGTCAAATGCAAGTAGTTAAGTCCCCAGGTTACCCACAACTTCTGTGGAGGAAAATGTCGCCTGCCATATCTGTAAACAAAGGAAGCTGAGGCCATCAAACTATCAGCCGCTGCAGCTGCCCCCAGCTATGCACCCTGAGGGGATTCAGGATGGAGAACAGCAATATACTGGCCCTACATAGAGAAGGTGCATATCAAAGGAATCATTTCAGTAAGCCCAGATTCTTACATCTTCCCATACAAAGAAAAGTGGTAAATTCATTAACTTGAGATGTCTGTTTTTTATCTTTTGATGTTCTCACTACCTTTTTTTCTTTGGGTTTTTTTTTTTTTTGCAAAAACTCTTTATATCCTGGCTCCTCCCTTACCTCTGAAAAACAGAGCTGTCTGATAGCCTGCCTTCTGGACTTATGGTCTCAGAAAATCCACCAAATAAAACAGAATTCTCAACTTTTATGTGTGCATTTTTTTTTCAGTCGACACTGCTGTCTAGTTTGGCTGCAAATTGGAGGTTTCTATGCCCTCCTCCCACTTTGGGTTCATTTTTACTTACATTTCCAGTTTATTAAAGGATATGGCAGAGAATACAGATGAACAGCCTGATGAAGAGATACTTACGGTGAGGTCTAGGAGGGTCCAAAGTGCAGGAACTTTTGTCCCATGAAGCTGGGGTGCATTACCCTCCCAGTGAGTAGATATGTTCACCAACCCAGAAGCTCTCTGAATCCCATACTTTGGGGATTTTTTAATGGAGGCCTCCTCACGTAGGCATGATCAATAATTAACTCTATTTCCAGCCCTTCTCCCCTCTCTAGAGAAGTGAGGGGCAGGGCTGAAAAATTCCAAGCTTCTAAGCAAAGGTTGGTGTTTCTGGTCACCAGGAGCAATCCAGAATCCTACCCAGAGTTGCCTCATTAAAACAAAAGATGCTTCTAGTGTTCTTACCACCGAGAACATTAAGAAGGTTTTAGGAACTCTGCCAGGAACTGGGAGCAGAGCAGAGACCAATGTATATTTTTATTATCTCACAACAGCCTTGCACATATCTTTACATACTAACTATGGCTACAACTGCACAGTTGAGTAGTTGGAATTGATGAGATTCAGGGCATACTACCCCAAAATATGGCACCTTGGCATATTGAATATTTTAAGGTGAAGGAGATTGAGAAAATGGCACAAACCGGAAGGTCACTTTGATCTTCTCCCAACCCTTCTCTTCTGAAATAAGTCATACAGGCCTCAGGTCAGAGGTGCCCTCCCTATATCCAGAGGGCGGGACCATCCTTATTTCCAAAGACAAAAGGATGCCAAGAAGAATCAGAATAGGTTTTGATAAACTTCCCGCAGTTTACTACATGAACCCCTTCCTCTCTGACCTATCATATTCCTACACAACTGCCTATTCTTCATCAAACCTATCATAAAAATACTCAAGGTCTGTTCTGATGGGTCACATAAAACTCACATTACGTGAAATTTGAGTTTCACATGAAGGCTCCCATGTCACAGGAAACTCACATTAAAATAAATTTGCATGCCTTTGCCAG